AGGATGTATGCGCAGTCACCTTCTCTGTATGTCCTACATACACAGACATACTCCCCTCACTCATGCCTACCCCTGACTTCTGCCAGCACAGGATTTAATAAAACACAAACCCATTCAGGAAAATGGAAAGTACTTGGCTCCTCTAAGGAAACTTACTTAATCCAGGGAGCACAACGAGGAAGTTATAAAATAATTGAACCATGACCTGTTAGAGCTGGAAGGACCTTAAAAACATTTCCTAAAACTGTCCTTTCTTTCCGTTTCCATTGCCACCTCTTAGTCTCAGCCACCACCAGGGCCAACACCCTCTTTCATCTGCACGACTGCAGGGTCCTTTGTTTGCTCTCCTCCCTGACCTACTGCACTAGCCTCCTTCTTACCCACTCTCCACTCAGCAGCTACCATGATTTTTTTTTAAATTTGCTATAGAACTCATGTGCTCTCAGGAGAGAAACCGAGAGGAGATAGAGAGGGAAAGTGAGAAATCACTCTTCAGGGGGATGGCCACACCACAGTCCCTTCTCCTGTTTCTCCTTCCTTTTGGGATTTTGGGCAAAAATGCCCACACGCCCGGTGTGTTTTTCAAGCTGCCAGGTCCAGGACTCTAACTGCATAGGACTCAAGTTGGTCATGTGGGATCCAGCCACCTTAACTACCATGTTACTGGCTGGCCCTAGAGAGAGTTTTATTTATATTTATATTTATTTATATTATACCTGCCAGCCCAGAGGGAGTCCCAGAGGGAGTGTTGTTTTTTTTAAGAATTATTTTATTTTATTTTATATAGATAGATAGATAGATAGATAGATAGATAGAGAGAGAGAGAGCGAGCGGGAGAGTTTAGAGAGAGAGAGAGAGAGCGGGAGAGTTTGCTATAGGGCATGTGATCTCACCAGAGAGACAAAGAGAGAGAGACAGAAGGAAAGTGAGAAAGCACTCCTTCAAGGGGAATAGACACGCCACAATCCTTTCGCCTCCATTCTTCTCTCGGGATTTTGGGTACACATGCACACACACCTGGCATGTTTTACAAGTTACCAGGTCCAGCACTTGAGCAGCACAGTTGGCCAATGTGGGATCCAGCCACCCTAACCTAACCATTTAAAAATTTTTTTATTTAACTTTATTTATTTATTTATTTTAATGTGACCAGAGAGGCACCGAGAGAGAGAAAGCAAGGCACCAGGTTCAGGACTCGAACCGTGGTTGGCCATGTGGGAGGCCAGCGCCCTTAACCACCATGCCACCTGCCAGCCCACCAGAGGGAGCTTTTAAAACCAAAATTTGGGGACCAGCAGGTGGCATGGTGGTTAAGGCGCTGGACACTCCCACATGGCTGACCATGGTTCAAGTCTTGGACCTGGTGGGTTGCTTTCTCACTTCGTCTCTCTCTTTGTGTGTGTCTCTCTCTGGTCAAATAAAAAAAAATGAATGAATAAATAAAATTAACTAAAATAAGACCCAAATTTGGTCAGCTCATTTCTCCAAGATAAAACCACATTAAATTAATGTAATCTACTAAAATGACTGACTTTTTCTCTAGAAAAATTTCAAAATCCATAGCATAGTAAAATGTTGGTTCATCTGGAGGGTTTGATAAACATTTGTTGAAGGAAGGGAGTCAGGTCTTCAGATTTGGAAGGAACTGCCTTGTCTGTTTGTGTGTTAATTTGCCTTGTTTAAATCTCAGAGCACACCCTCACTTCCAAGTTCTTAGAAGTACCTCATTGTAGCCTCTGGCATCTCATGAAAGTGATTTCTTCAAGGTCACACAGCTGGTGAATAAAAATCAAGTAGACTATATAGCCCTATTGTTTTAAACTGTACAGTCACAGTTAAGTGAGTAGTAATCAGTTTAAAAGTGGCAACTACTGGTATGATGCTTGACCCTCCCACCAATAGTTTTTAGGCTTTGGTATGGAGTCTTTCAAAAGATAAAGAAATCCACCTCCCCACCCCACCAAAGAAGGCTCTTCATCTTTAGACAATTCTAATAATTATTGACAACCAGATAATGAGCCAACAAGTAGCCAAGTGGGTAAAGGTGGCTGGATCCCACTAGACCAACTGCACAGTTCGGGTCCCAGACAGACCTGATGGCCTGAAAAACATGCTCTGTGTGTGTGTGTGTGTGTGTGTGTGTGTGTGTCCAAAATCCTGCGAGAATTGGAAAGGAGGTGCAGTGTGGCTATCCACCTTGGGGGTACTTTCTTACTCCCCCCCATCCGCCTCACCCCTTTCTGGTGAGCACACACAGGCCTATAGTCAAAAAATAATAATAATAATAAAATAAAATAAAGAAAGAAAAGAAAACCAGATAATTCAAAAAATACTCCATTTTAGGGACCAGCAGTTAGCGTAATGGCTATGTTGCTGGACTCCCATGTAGTCGACCGCGGTTTGCGTCCCGGACTCGGTGGCTTAAAACTCACGCCAGGCGTGTGTGTGCGTGCCCAAGATCCTGAGAGGAGAATGGAGGAGAAGGGATTGCGGCGTGACCATCCCCCCTGGGGGGTGATTTCTCGCTTTCTGTCTCTCTGTCTCTCTCTGTCTGGCGAGCGCACGCGCCCTACAGCAAAAAGCTCTCAAAAAAAAAAAAAAATACTCCATTCTAGTCAGGTATGGAAAGATAGAGTGAGGGAGAAGAGGCTGTTCATGAGAGGCTTAGGCCTTTCTTTCTATGGTGCTCTCAAGGTGTTTTGGACCAGCGGCCTCCAAGAAGGAGATGGGTGACTTCAGCTCTAGCTTAGTTAAGGAAATGACCCACAGTATCCAGTCTCAAAGACTTCTGCAAGATACCATAGACTAGCCAGGGACTAGAACAAGGAAGGGATGTGTGTGGAGGAAATGGAATTAATCCCAGCTCAAATGTTGGGGGGAACCCCAGCTGCTGCAGCTGCTGAGGGCTTAGCCAGCTGTTCTTGGGCAGCTGCAACATGCAGCCCAGGCCTGGCTCTCGGGGTGGCAGCTCTGTCTCAGCTTGTAGCCATCAGCTCCAAGCTACCCAAGGCCTTGCTCAAAGGATCACTGGAAAGCAAAAGAGAATAGCAGAGAGCCCCCAGTTCCACAGACTTCTATTCTGACATCGCGTGGTTTGAAATCAGATGACTATGTGTTCCCAAGGAAAGAAGTTGACAATTTCAGGATTGTCAATTTGGGTTTAGGTTTCTGAAAGGCAAAGCCAAGACTACAGGCATCACCTTCATTCCCATGCCTCTTTCCTCTCTTCTCCTCCCCTCCCCTTCCCTCCCTCCCCTTCCTTTCCCCTCCTCTCCTCTCCTTTCCCCTCCAGCTCCGCTCCTAGTGCCCTATGTCGCCCCCTACCATTCCTCACAAAGCATACTCTGTATGGGAGTGGGAGCATTTCCTTGTGAGCAAAACTGAAGTAAGGACACTCAGAGGCTCAGATGAGGACAGTCTGCCTAGGGATAAAGACTATCCAAAAGCTCTAGCCAATTGCCAATCATCTTTTTATTATTATTAATTTCATTTCCTTTATTCTTTTAAAAAATAATTATTTAATTTTATTACTTTATTATCATTGTTATTTTTTAAAAGAATTATTTATTTTATTTATTTATTACATTTATTTCAATTTGACCAGGGAGAGACACAAAGAGAAAGAAAGAAGGAAAGCAAGCCACCAGGTCCGGGACTCGAACCATGGTCGGTATGTGGTTATGTCCAGTGTCCCTCATTGTTATTATTTTTAATTTACTCTAGGGCATGTGTGCTCATTGGAGAGAGAGAGAGAGATAGAGAGAAAGTAAGAAAGCAAGCCTCCAGGTCTGGAACTCAAACCATGGTTGGTCCAGTGGTAACCACCACGCACCTGCTGGCCCCTATTTTCTCAGTTATTTATTTTTTTTTAGAGGTTTTGCCATTGGGCACATATGCTCACTGGAGAGAGACAGGCAGAGACAGTAAGAGGGAAAGCATGAAATCATCCCCCCAGGGGCGGAATGGCCACTCCACAATCCTTTCTCCTCCTGGGATCTTGGGCCTGCACGAACACGTGCCTGGCGTGATTTTTCAAGCCACCAGTCTGGAACTCTAACCACTGTCTGCCATGTGGGAGTGCAGCAACATCACATAACCACTATACCATCTGCTGGCCCTCCCCTTTATTCCTTTGTTTTAACTTTCTTTTTTGAATTATTTAATTTAACTTTATTATTATTGTTTTCTAATTTAACCAGAGAGATAGAGATAGAGAGAGAGAGAGGGAAAGTGAGAAAGCAAGCTGTTAGGTCTGAGACTTGAATGGTGGTTGACTATGTGGGAGTCCAGCACCTTAACCACCCTGCCACCTGCCAGCCCAGCTCCCTTCATTCTTGAATCAAGTATGTGTGTGTGCACGTGACAGTGGGAGAGAGAGCAGTGCACGCCTTTCACAGGGTCTGATCTCGCCGTGACCTCCACCCTCCTGCCCTGTCCGTCAGATACTAAGCATCACACACGTGTCCAGCATGTCTCAGCCCAACCAGGCCAGGATTCAAATTGTAGTTGCCGTGTGGTACGTGGCTTTTCTTTTCTTTTCTAGGCACTCACTAGTGACAGAGAGAAAGAAATGAGGAAGCAAGTTGCCAGGTCTGGGACTTGAAAGTACACATGCAGGGTATTTTCTTGCTTTCTTTCTCCCTCCCCCCCCCTTTCTGTTTCTCTCTGGTGAGAGCATGCATTCCCTGAAAATTATTAATTAAAACATTAAAATGTGGGGCTAGCAGGTGGCATAATAGTTGTGGTGCTGGACTCCCACATGGCCAACTGTGGTTCAAGTCTCAAACCTGTGGGCTTGAAATTCACACAGGGTGCATGTGCGTGCATGCCCAAGATCCTGAGAGGAGAATGAAGAAAGGATTGCAGCATGGCCATCCCTTCTGGGTGGTGATTTCTTTTTTTCTTTCTTTCTTTCTTTTTTTTTTTTTGTTATCTCAGGTTTATTGAAAATAGTATGGCATAGTAGAAAGATTCAAACGGCTCCACGGGGGTTTTGAAATTCATTCCAACTGTAGCTGCCTGGCCTGCAGGTTAGACAGGCTGCCAAAGTCCAAAAGCTTCAGCATTTCCTCAGTGTCAGGATCCACTTCAATGATTTCCTGACCCAGGGCTGAGACCTCAGGAACAGAATTATCTCTCCTTTCTCGCTCCTCCTCCTGCAGCTTGATGGCGATGCCTCTCACAGGGCCTCTCTGAATGCATTTCATGAGATGCGTGACATAGCCTGCTATCTTGTTGCAGAACTTCTTGCTGGGAATGATGGCGATCTCGCACACGCGCTTGTTCGTGTGGAAGTCGTAGCCCAGACACGTGTAATACTTCTCAATGACCCGGGCCACCTTCTTCATAGTTTTGGTGCGAACGCGGCCAATGTTGGCGGGTCCTTGGTGAAAGAGCCTGGGTGGTGATTTCCTACTTTCTGTTTCTCTGTCATTCTGTCTCTCTGGCAAGTACGTGCACCCTATAGCAAATATCTCACTTTAAAAAAAAAAAATTAATGGAGCCAGAAGGTGTCATGGTGGTTAAGGACACTGGACTCCCACATGGCCCACTGTGGTCCAAATCTGGAACCTGGCAACTTGCTTTCTCACTTTCTCTCTCTCTCTCACTCTGTCCCTCTCTGGTCAAGTTAAAATGAATCAATCAGGACCAGCAGTTGGCATAATGGCTATGTCGCTGGACTCCCATGTAGTGGTTCAAGTCCCAGACTCGGTAGCTTAAAACTCTTGCCGGGCACGTGTGCGTGCATGCCCAAGATCCTAAGAGGAGAATGGATTGTGGCGTGGCCATCCCCCCCGGGAGGTGATTTCTTGCTTTCTGTCTCTCTGTCTCCCTCTGTCTTTCTGGCAAGCACACACAATCCCTATAGCAAAAACCTCTCCAAATAATAATAATAATAATAATAAAATGAATCTATAAATAAAGTTAAATAAAAAATATAATTATTTTAAAAATTACAATTAAAATTTGATTATTCTTCTCAGTGAAATTATTCCTCAGCTTTAAATCCTACAATTGCTTTTCATCTTCAGGACAAAATTCAAAATCCTTAAAACAGATCACATCTCCCCCTAGCTATACTGAATTTGTTGAGGTCCTCAAATTCATGTTCCTTTTGTTCCCAACCTCAGGTTTTTGCACATGTTTTTTTCTCTGCTTGGACAACTCACACCGATCTTTACATCTGATCTAAAATGTCACTTCTCATCTCTTTCATCACACTCAACAAGCTCTTAACCATTTATGCCTGTCTTGCTAGAAGAACTGAAAGAGCCATGAGGGAAAGGGTTATGTACATACCTGCCTTTACTGGCCTGTCCCTGCCACACAGAATGATACATTTATTTTTAGTTTATTTTCACTTTATTCATGATAGAAAGTACACATGCACACACGAGAGAAAGAGGCACCCCTGACAGGGTCTTGCTGCACTGTGGGTTCCCATACCCTAGCCCTCCAGCTCAGGTGGATCTCAGATGCCCACTTGTGTGCCCGATGAGTTTCAGGCTGGCTGGGGGTCCACATCCACTGTCAGCCATGTGGTTTGCAGCACAGCAGTTCAGTAACCTACATCCTACACTACCGAGACTGGGCTGCACAGTGCAATATTGGACATATAGGAGGCACTCAGTATAACCTTAGCCAATCAAAGATAACCTCTGTCATGGAGAGGCTCCTTGGTACACATCAACCATGTGGAGTGTAGAGATAGTAACAGGGAGAGGAGGAGTTGAATATGCAAATTGGCCACAAAACCCCCTGTGGGAAAATAGTACCTGACCATAGCTTGCCTTTCTTTTTTTTTTTTTTGTAGAATTTTTGTTGTTGTGGTTGTTGTTATAGGACACATGCCATCATGGGAGAGACAGAGAGAACTTACCCCCAGGGGAGATAGCCCTGCTATAATATCTTCTCCTCCATCCTCCTCCCGGGATCTGGGGCACACACACATGCCCAGCATGAGTTTCAAGCTACTGGATCTGAGACTCGAACCAGAACCATGGTTGACCATGAGTCCAACCTGCTGGTCCTCATAACTTTTTTCCCCAAAGTCAGCTGCTTCAGTCTCCCAGCCAGAAAGTGTTCTTCCACAGAGGACAAGCCACAAAAGCACAAAGGTAAACATGTCAAACTTCTAGGTTGGAAATGTACCTTTTGTAAAAAAAAAAAAAAAAAAAAAATAAAAGAGTAAGGTCTAGTCATACACACACACACACACACACACACACACACGCACACACATTTATCTAATATTTTATACGGACCCGGTGGCTTAAAACTCATGCTGGGTGTGTGTGCGTGCGTGCCCAAGATCCTGAGAGGAGAATGGAGGAGAAGGGATTGTGGCGTGGTCATCCCCCCTGGGGGGTGATTTCTCACTTTCTGTCTCAGTCTGTCTGGCAAGCACGCGCGCTCTATAGCGAAAAAACCTCTCCAAAAAAAAAATAAGGGAGAACTAATTACAAAATTTTTGCACCAAACTAAACTTGAACTGTAATTC